TTGCTCCAAAGCTCTTGGAGGTGTGGTGGAGACCATCTACCCCCTTCCTCTCTGTGCTTCTTTGCAGGCTTGATCACAGGCATTACCTCCTGGAGTGTCCCCACAAATACAGCGTGGCTGATCTGAGGCAGGTGAGAGCTGTGTATGGTCATAGAATCACAGAATGGTTTGGGTTGGAAGGGACCTTAAAGACCACCCAGACCCACCCCCTCCCATGCAGTTCCACCTCCCACTAGACCAGACTGCTCCTAGCCCCCTGGCCCAGTTGTTGGGGTTTTCCAGATGAAAACACCTTGGTGTGTTGGGGATGCCACGTTCAGCAGGAGGTTCCCAGCAGCTGGGTTTTTCAGTGATTCCCAAGCCGGGAGCCCCATCCTGGCAGGTTGTGGATGCTGCTCTCAGCAGTCCAGGGTCCCAGTGCACCCCAGGCTTGTGGGCTGGGGGTTGTTTTGGAGGACAGCCCTGCCTTCAGGTGGAGCCCAAAGGATGGGTGTGACACAGCCAACCCCACCGGGGCTGGGCTCCAGGCGCGCTGACCCCTGTGTCCCCCAGATCGCCGAGGGCACCTTCGAGACCTTCCTGCAGTCGCTGCTGCAGTTCGCATCGCAGCACGTGTACAGCTGCGACCTGTGCACCCAGCGCGGCTTCATCTGCCAGATCTGCAACAGCAGCGACATCATCTTCCCCTTCGAGTTCGACACTACCACCAGGTGAGCGAGCCACCTCTGCCCGTCCCACTGCAGCCAGGGCACCCGGGGGCACAGCCTGCCTTACGCCAGGAGCCCCAGCCAGCCCCTGAGTTCTGGTCACAGACCCCGCTTGCAAGGCACGTGGGGAACTGGACATGGCTCTGAGGTGGTTGTGCATCCTCATCCTGCAACCTTGTGGTTCACATGTGCTCGACCATGGGAACCATATTGTGGTGCTCATGTCCTCATGGCAGCCACATGTGCCCATGTCCTTGTGGGAGTTGCATCCTCATGGTGCCCATGTCCTCATGGAAGCCTGGTCTTCATGTCCCACATTCTTGTGGGATTTGCATTCTCGTGGTGTCCATGTCCTCATGGAAGCCCAGTCTTCGTGTCCCACATTCTTGTGGGAGCCACATCCTCGTGGTGCCCATGTCCTCATGGTGCCCATGTCCTTGTGGTTCCCCATCCTTGTGGGACTCATCCTCACATGCCCACATCTTCATGCCCTTGTCCTCATGGAACCCATCAGCTCCAGGATGCTCCAAACCAAATCCAGGCTGTTTGGGACAAGAGCAGACCGTCCTCACAGAGCCAAGATGTCACCAAGAGAGGTGGCTTTGCAGACTGAAGATGCAAAGCCACCAGCACCTTACTGTCAGCCTGCAAAGGCCGTGCTGGGTGCCAGGGCAGCCAAGGGGCTAGAGGGAGGAGGAGGAGTAAGGTTCTGCATGTCCCTGTCTTGCTCACCTGGCCAGTGCCTCTCACACTCAGGGTCAGTCTGACCCCTTGCAAGGGCTGCAGGAGGGAAGGGGAAGCAGCAGTGGGACTGTCCTACAATCCCTCCACAGCCATGGAAGGAAGGACAGACACATGGACGCAGATTTCATAGAATGCCAAAATGGTTTGGGTTGGAGGGACCTTAAAGCCCATCCAGTGCCACCCCCTGCCATGGGCAGAGACACCTTCCAAGTCCTGTCCAAGGCCTTGGACGCTTCCAGGGGTGGGGCAGCCACAGCTGCTGTGGGAGCAGAGGTGGAAGGGGGGCAGCACTGTGGGATGTGCTGGGAGAGGCTGAGGGTGTTCCCAGCAGGAGAGGGGTTATACTGGCTCTCACTGGGGTTTTCCCCTGCCCACAGAGCTTCCATTCCTCACAGGCAGAGGGACCTGTCCTGCAGTGGGGTCAGCTGTGGGTCAGGTTGCAGCAGCTGGACAGAAGTTGGAATCAGGATGGGGATGGTGCTAGAGGGGAGCTCTCATTCCTACCACCATCAGGGTTTGCTGAAGTCAAACCCTTACAGCCCAGGAGCCTGCTCCCCTGCAGCTGGAGAGATCCACATCTCCATGGTTATGCCATAGAATTGTGGAATCATTCTGGTTGGAAAAGCTCTGTAAGATCATTGAGTCCAGTTCCCCCAGCACCGCCAAGGCCACCATTGACCCATGTCCTTAAGTGCCACATCCACAGGGCTTTTAAATCCCTGCAGGGATGGTGACTCCACCACTTGCCTGGGCAGCTTCTGCCAGAGTTGGACAACTGTTTCAATTAAGAAATTTTCCATAATATCCAACCTAAACCTCCCCTGAGGCAACTTGAAGCTATTTCCTCTTGTGCTGTCTTAGCCTATTTGGCGTTGAGCACAATCCTGGCAGAGAGATTTCTCAAGTTCATGGGCTGCGTGGTCTCACTTTGCCTGGCAGTCCCTAAAAGTGAGCAGCAACACCCAGAACCTGCAGAAAACACCACGGATACCGGGATCCGTGGGAGCTCCATGTGTTCCAGGGCTGCGAGTATTTCCGTGGAGGAGGAGCAGCGCTGCTCGCTCCCCTCCCTGCCACAGGGACAGCACGGAGCTCATTATCGAGGACAACAACATCCCCGGGGGACCGATTTTCCCTGGAAAAAGAGCAGCCGGGCTCTGGAAAGTGCTGGCACGCAGGGCTGAGCTGGCTGGCGGCCGGCCGGAGGTCTCGTGTCCCGTGGAGCCGAGCTCTGAAGTTTGTTGACGTCTTTCTTTCTCACCCTGACGGAGGAGGTTGTGCAGCAGGAAAGCAGCTCAGCCGACATCCTCGCGGAGCTAAACGCGGCTTCCTGCCCCTCTGCCCGCCCCGGGCCGCCGGGTCACACCGGCACTCGCTGCAGGATGTGTCTGCAACGCCTTAAACAATGACCCCGCCAGCGCAGGACCCTCTGCTGCTCCGGCAGCTCGGGGGGAGCCAGAGGCAGGAGATGCCGCTTTGCGCTCGTAACCACTCCGGGTAAAACCCGGCTTCCCAAATCCTCCCACGCCTGGGGAGCAGCCGTCACCGCTGCTGATCCGGAGAGGCCGCATGGAAGTGTGTTCCATCGGGGAAATGGTTTTTTTCCACCCAAATCCTGCCTGTTCATGCACGAGTCTTTCCCTGTCCCGAGTCCCTCAGGGTTTGCAGCTCCTCTCCAGAGCAGGATTTCAACCCAGCTGAGATGCTGTGGTTCCTTTCCTGGCACTGCTGGGTGTTCCTCTGCCTCTGTCCCACGCATCTTTTGGTGAATTAAGGTGTTTCGTGCTGTTCACACATGGATTGTACACCAGGTATTTGCACAGTGAAGGTAAATCTGGCTGCCCCGCTGGCATGTGGCTGAGCCACATTTTACTGCCACTGAGGAGCTGGGGATCACAACCCAAAAATTGACCTCAGCCCTTGTAACAGGGATGTTTCTGTTGGTGACTGAGCAGTGAAACCCCTGCCTGAGCTGGGGTCCTTCACAGGGTGTCAAATTCCTGCTGCTGCTGAGCCAGATCAGGGAGCTCTGGCACCTCCACAGAGCCACCTGTTCAAGGGCAGCTCCCTCCTGGCTGCCTGTCCCTTCCCTGCAGCTCTGCTGTCCCCACAGTCTCCCTGTCACATGCGGCTCCTGTTGTCAGGGTGGGCTCTCCCACCCCAGCCGTGGCAAGCAGTGCTGTCACAGGGGTTGGTGATGAGGGATCAGTGTCAGGGGTTGGTGTCATGAGATTGGTGTCAGGAGATCAGTGAAACAAGGGTGGGTGTCTGGGGTTTGGTGTCACAGGGTTCGTTGTGCAGGGTGTGTTGTCACACCCTTGAACTGCGCTCAGTGCTGGGAGAGCAGGGCACAAACCTCTGCTCAAACCTCACTCCTGTCTCTCTCACACATTGGCAGCACCCACCACGCTCCTTCCGGCCTGGCTCGGAGCTGCTGGGGTGGATGAGGAGCTGCTGGGGTGGATGTTCCACTCAAGCAGCTGCTGCTCCTGCACTCAAGGCTCGCCCTGAGCCGAGGGGGGCTCTGCTCTGTGAGTGCTCAAAATGCACCAGGACAGGGAAGTGTCCCCTGGTTCAGTGGGGGAAGTTTGGTCTTTGTTCTGGCAAGTCCAACACAGTGGGTTTCGTTTTTTCCTTCATTTCCCAGGTGCAGTGAATGCAAAACCGTCTTCCACTGGGACTGCCACGCCCGGGCCCCGGCGTGCCCGCGCTGCGAGCGGCGGCAGCGGTACCAGCGGCAGCTGGAGGCCAGCACGGAGCCCAGCCTGTAGCCTGGCACTTACCTCGACACTGCCCTGGGAACGGGGATGGTGGGAGGGACAGAGCAGAGCCCCCCTGCCTGAAAGCCTGTCCTGCACCTGGCCCTGCCCCAGGGACAGGGACAATGTGGGGTGGGTGCTCCTGCCCTGCGGAGGGACCCTCTGCCCACACAGGGCTAAAGAAAGGGGCTGGACAAATCCATCCCCCTTCACACCCACCGGGTGCTGTTCCCTGTCACCCTCCTGGTGCCAATGTCCCCTTCCAGTGGAACCCAGCGGCTCTTCAGGGTGTCATCCCAGAATTCCAGTCAAGGGTGTGGAGAACTGACATTGATCAAAGCTCTAGTTTTTTAGGATACTGAAAACTGGTATTTTTTTACATGGGGGTTTTGCACAACTGGGCTGCTCTGGGTGGTGGACCCACGCAGGGAGGGGACAAAGTGACACTTGTGCCTTTAGGGACCTGCATGCCCCAGGGGGACCGTGGGTGCCCCAAACATCTCCTGCTCAGACAGCCCAGCCAGGGCCATGGCCTCCGGGGAGAGCCAGGCAACTCCTCCCGGCCTGCTGCTGCTCATCCTCGGGAGAAATTTTATTTTCCTTTAACCCCTCCCCACGCAAAGAGAATTAAAGTCTATTTAACAACAAGTGGAGTGATTTCTGAGTTTGCAGTGGGACCTCATCACAATTTGAACCTGACACAGTGTCTGTGGGAAGAGGATTGGGAATGGGGATGCTGCCTGTCCCTTGTCCTCTGTCCTCCTGCCCATCCCCCATCCTTCTTGCCCTTCCTCCATCCTCCAGGGTTTCACTTGGGCAAGTGGTTGGGGGTCCCTCCCCCATTTTTCCTGCCCCATTTTCCTTCCCAGCTGCTCCCCGCTGGTGTCAGCTTCTCCCATTGTTGTTTTCCCCACCACTCGTGTGCTGGGAGGACTTGGCATGTGCCCACCAACACAGCAGAACTCCCTGGGGTGCATGGGGACAAAAACCAGGGCAGAGCAGCTCCCATGGGCCCCCCTAATGGGGTCCCCATCCCACTGCCCAGGGAGGCCGTGCCAGATCCGGCAGCAGCGCAGATCCCGGCAGCAGCGGGGCTGGGCCCTTCCTGCGGCAGGAACCTCCCGAGGAGCCGTTTCCTCGTCGGGCGGCAGCGGGTCCCCTCCGCCACCGTCCCGTCCCGCCCGCCGAGGGGACAGGACGCGCCCCAGCACCCGGAGCTGCAGCGGGGGCCGGGCACGCACCCGCCGCGGAGCCCGGCCCCGTCTCTCGTCGAGGCGGCGGCGGAAACCGGGCGAGTCGGGACCGGCCCGGCGCGGGCACGAGCGGCACCGCGGGCGCGCACCCGCCCCAGCGCCGGCCGCAGGTGAGAGCGGGGCTCGGGGACCGCGGGCTCGGCGACCGGGGGCTCCGTGGCTTTGGGGTCTCGGGCATGGTGGCAAGGATGGTGGCGGTGACCCCAGGGTGTTCCAGCAGGTTCGGGCGGTTTGCGAACCCACCGAGTAGGGCGGCAGCTCAGCGGGGACCCCGGGGGAGCTGAGCTGGAGGGTCCTCGGCCCAGGAGGGGCTGGGCGCTGCCGTCACCTTCCCCTGCCCCGTGTCCCGCAGGCAGAGGCGCGGAGAGGCCATGGAGGCGGCGGAGCCGGCGGAGGAGGCGCTGGTGCTGGTGGAGTACGGCTTCGAGTACCGCGCCAAGGACGGCACCTTGGTCTCCATCAAACCCAACGAGCGCTATGTCCTGCTCAAACGCACCAACCCGCACTGGTGGCACGTCCGCAGGAGCGGGGACGCCCGGCCCTTCTACATCCCGGCCCAGTACGTCAAGGAGCTGCCGCCCATCGCTGCCCCAGCCCCGCTTGACCCTTCGCCACCGGGACATGCTGCGACGGAGCCGGCCGCGCTCGTCCCTCAGCCCCCGCCAGCCTACGAGTATCGGTTCATCGGCGCCGCCGAGCCGGGGGAGCCGGCAGGAGGGTGCCCGGTGCCCAGGAGAGACTCGGTGCTCCAGAGAGATTCTGTGCCCAGGAGAGATTCGGTGCCCAGGAGGGACTCGGTGCTCCAGAGGGATTCTGTGCCCAGGAGAGACTCGGTGCCCAGGAGGGACTCACCACCATCACTCAGCTCTTTTCGGGTCCTGCCGGGGCTGACCCCGCACCCCGCTGAGCCTGTGAGACCTTCGCACTCCCTGGATGACCTGGCGCGGGTGACACCAGCACCTCGCAGTGCCACTGCTGCCATGGGGGCACGCGGGGACCCCCCAGGACACGCTCGGCCGCTCGGGAAGAGCCGCTCCGAGACCCTCTGCGCCTCCGGCAAGGACAGGGACGTGGCCAGGAGGTGGCCGGGGGCCGGCCCCGCAGCTCAGGTACGGTGACATCCCCGCTGCTGTCCCCAAAAGCTGCGTTGCGGGGCGGGGGCGGGGGGGGTGGTTAGCGGGTAGGGGTGTTGAGCGTTGCCCCCTCGGCTGATTCAGTGGCCGTGTTCCCCCACCATGACCCTGTGACCCCCGGCACAGAGTGGGATGACACCCCGGCACCGCAGCCACTGCTGGGACACCCCAGGTCTCCCCACTGAGCTGACCCCATGGGACAAACCTGCAGGTGACCCCATCATAGGGGTTTGCCCGAATTAACCATTTCGGAGATGTGGGGGACCCCACACACAGGGACTCCACCGCGCACCCTCCATCCTCAGCCCCTGGCCCGTGCCTCAGTTCCCCCACCCTCATGGGCACCCCTGGATTCTCTCAGCCCCCTATTCTGCAGAACCCCGTGGTCTCTGGGGGGTCCTCAGCATCACCCAGAGGGGTTTTGCAGGATCCCTCAGGTTCCCGGAGCGTTCCGGGTTGAGAGGAGGCAGAAAGGGTTAACAGGGAAGCGCGGCAGCTCCTCCCTGCCGGGGCGGGAGCCTCACCTGGGCGCAGCACCCATTGACCGAGGTGGGTGCTGGGTGCACCCCGGCACAGGCCAGCGCCCCGACACCCCAAACCCACGCTCACCCCACACCAGTAAGTAGCAAAGGGCTCTGCTCAGCACCCCCTGGGCTGCACCTCCCCGAGGGGGGCACCCAAGGGTGGGGGTCCCCGCCGGCCACCAAGGCGGGTGGGGCTACACAGGGTGAGACAGTGCCGGCAGAGGGGTGGGGCCCACGACCTTGTCCACTCCTTCCTTGTCCCCGAGCACCTCACTTCGGAGTAACCCCGGGCACCTGGAGCACCCCAAGCCTGGGTGTCCCCCACTTCAGGAAGAGCTGGAGGGATTGTGGCACCTGGGGGAGTTGCTGGAGGAAATGGGGTATTGGTGGTGGGGGGCTGTGTTTTGCACCCCATTTTCACCTGATTTTCACGCTATTTTATACCTCGTGCCCCCAGCTGTGCCTTTTGCACACTCAAAGCCACTGAGCCCCCTCTGGGAGTGACACAGCATGGTCCCCAACCCCAGTGCCACCATGGGAGCATTCCCCTTCCCTGCCCAAATCCAACCAGTGCCAAAACCATCCAGCATCAGGCATGGCAGGACCATGGTGGCCTCGAGCCTGCCACCCTCTGCACCCGCTGGGATGGGATGGGATGGGATGAGATGGGATGGGATGGGATGGGATGGGCTGATCCCGGTGTTGTGGGGACACAGCAGCTCCAGATCAGCTTCCATTTGATCAGTGTGACACCAGATGGGCCATCCAAAATCATCCCAGTGCAATTCCTGCTCAGCATTCACCCTGGAGCAGTTCCTGCTCAGTTGCCTTGGCTTTGCCAGAGTGGGTGACGAGTGGCAGGTTGTGGGTGACGGGTGACAACAACCCCACGAGCAGCAGCCAGTTCCGCCCTGGGCGCCTCTTCCGCTCCCCGAGCCCGGCAGGAAGCGCGGTGGGTGCAGGGCCCGGCTCGGGGCGCCAGCGGCGTTACCGGAGCCTCGTGCTGTCCCCCCGGCTGTGCCCACCCTGGTGCCCCCAGAGCTGCCCCGGTGGCACTGCCATGGGTGACCGGGCGCCGGGGGGGCCGCGGCGGGCCCGGAGCAGGGCATTGCAGCTGCTGCGCTTGGGGAAGGTAGGCAGCACCCAAGGGTGCTCCCAGCCGGGGGACAGGGGGGTGTTTTGGGGTCACCCCTTGCCAGGCTCCCCCTCAGGTTTCCCTGGGGGTTTATGGGCACCGGCAGTGCCACAATGCCCATCCCTAAGTGGGGAGGGGCACCCAACCCCCCCCCCCGGGGGTGAGGACCCCCTGGGGATGCACCCATAGGAGAGAGAGAGGTGCTGGGGGGCCTCAGTGCCAGGGATGCCCCATTGCCACCCCCGTGTTCCTTGTCCCCAGGAGGAGGGTGGGCCCCCCAGTAGTTTCTGGCCCTGCTCACCATGGTGGGGGATCATGGGGTAATGGGGGGAGGATGAGAGGTGTCGTCGAGCTGCTGCCCCACTCTGATCCCGGGTGTCCCCAAGGACAGTGCACCTACTGTCACCTCCCTCGGGGAGATGGGCAGGGCTGGCGTTGGGACCTTTGTCCCCGAGCCGTTAGTGAGATACTCAGGCTGTAAAGCCGGGGAGATCAAAGGGTGATAGGAGGGGGTTCCCCGCTGGCAGCACCCTCCTGGTCCCAGGGGACACATCCCCCTACCCCAGGCGTCCCCACGGGTGGGGCCAGCCAGGCTGGTGCTGGGGATGCTATTTTGGGATGTGGTGATGGGACTGTCTGGTTCAGCATCCGGCTCTGGGCGGGAGGCCAGGTCTGTGGGTGCTGGAAATGTCCCAGGGTGCAGGTGGTGAGAGTTCTGGGGTGCATGTGAGGGGGAGATGGGTGTGAGTTTTGGGGTGCTGGGGAGGTGGGAGCAGAAGCTGGGGGTGCAGGGGATGAGCAGGTTGGAGGTGTTGGGACCGCAGATGTCAGTGCAGAGGTTGTGGGTGTTCATGGTTTGGGTGTCAGTGCTGTGGGTGCTACACAGAGCAGGTCATACAGGTACCAGTGATGTGGGTGTGGGTGTGGGTGTGGGTGATGCAGGTACCAGTGATGTGGGTGCTGTATCCAGGGGGTGATGGAGGTACCAGTAATGCAGGTGTGGGTGATGCAGGTACCAATGACACAGGTGCTGCATGAGTGGGTACCAGGGACACAGGTGTTGATGATGTGGGTGACATGGGTAGCAGTGCTGCAGGAGGTGCTGATGATGCAGGTACTGATGATGCAGTGACACAGGTACCAGTGCTGCAGGTGCTGTTGCAGCAGTGGGTCATGCAGGTGCCAGTGACATGGTGCTGGTTGTGAGGGTGCTGCCAGCAGCAGGTGACACAGGTGCTGGCACTGGGTTCCTCAATGTCCCTCCATGTGCTCATCCCAGTGCCAGTGGGTGCTCCCTGCCCCACTCTGCTGTGAGTGCTCCTCTCCCCCTCCTGGCTTCCCATCACTGGCACCTCCTGCCCCACACCTTTGGGGGCCCAGGCAGGGGGGTGACCCAGCAGCCAGGGCAGGATCCAGCCCCTCGGTGCCTCACCCATCGGCCACCCGAACACCACGGTGGGGACATCCCAGGAATGCCATCCCAGCTCAGTAGTGACACATCCGTGTTCCCCCAGGCACACAAGGAGTCAGAGGAGACGCCTGATCCCATCTACCTCAACATCCAGGAGCTGCGGGGAGAGGCCGCCGCCAGCTCGGCCCCAGAGGAGCCCGGCGGCTCCGTGTCGGACTGGGAAACCCACACGGACACGGACAGTGGACATTTGTTTTATTACAACCCAGTGACGGGCGAGACCACGTGGGATTGTCCCTTCGGGCAGGCGGCCGATGGAGTGAGTCCCGCCGCCTCTCCCGCCTCCTCGCTCGCACACAGCCCGGAGCTTCCCGAGTGGGAACAGCACGTGGACGAAGGAAGCGGACAGACTTTTTTCTATAATTCGGTGACAGGTGAGACGTCGTGGGACCCCCCCACTGCAGGAGACACGGGAAGCCCCCGGGAGATCCCTGGGGGGACGCGGTACGGTGCCATGGAGCACAGGGTGAGCACCCGGCGTGGCGCGGACATGGGCTTGGGGTGGGGGCAGAGACAGGAATGGGAGTGGAGACAGGGATGGGAATGGACATGAAAAAGGGATGGGAATGGAGACAGGGATGGGAATGGAGATGGAAATGGGATGGGAGTGGAGACAGGGATGGGAGTGGAGACAGGGATGGGAATGGAGACAGGGATGGGATTGGAGATGAAAATGGGATGGGAGTGAAGAGAGGGATGGGTGTGGAGACAGGGATGGGATTAGAGACAGGGATGGAAATGGAGATGGGATGGGATGAAAATGGAGACAGAGACAGAGACAGAGAGGGATTGAGAAAAGTGTGGGAGATGCAATGGAGATGGAGATGGAAACAGATGGGAATGAAGATGAAAAAGGGATGGGATGAAAATGGAGACAGATTGGGATTGAGAAAGATGTGGGAGATGCAATGGAGATGGAAACATAGAGACAGATGGGAATGGAGATGAAGACAGATGAAGATGGACATGGGTATGGATACAGGGGTGTAGGAAAGGATGAGAATACAGATGGAAACAGGGATGGGATGAAAATGGAGGCAGAGCTGAAGATTGAGGAAGGATGGGAAATGAAATGGAGATGAATATGGAAACAAAGATGGAGATAGGGAATGGAGATGGGAACAGATACAGGAATGTAGAAAGGGAGGGGAATGGAGATGGAAACAGGGATGGGATGGAGATGGAAACAGGGATGGGATGGAGATGGAGACAGGGATGAAGCTGGAGATGGGAGACAGAGATGGGAATCAAGGTGAAGGTGCAGATGAAGATGGACAATGGAATGGATACTGGGATTGAGTTGGAGATGGAAACAGGAATGAGAATGGAGATGGAGACAGGGATTGAGATGGAGATGGGAATGGAGACAAAAATGGGAATGGAGATGATGGAGATGGGGCAGCACCCACCTGGGCGAGCAACACAGAGCTGCAGATCTCTTGTCTGGGCACAAGATCTTGAACTTTCTTTTCTCTCCAGCCACCCACTCCAGAAACGGATTATCCTGACCTGTCTCCAGATGAGCTGGAGTGTTATCCTGAGGAAGACTATTCGCCTGTGGGCTCCTATGACCAGGGGGCCTCTCTCTGCCTGTCCCCGAGGCGCCCCGAGGAGCTGGGCTCGTCCCCGGGCTGGTATGGGCATGGCCACCCCGAGGGACTCATGTTCTACCCTGAGCACTTCGCCCCTGACACGGTACAGGAGAGGGATGGGAATAGGGATTGGGACAGGGTTGAGAATGGGGATGGGGCCAGGGAAAGGGACAGGAAATGGAAGAGGGATGAACACAGAGATAGGAACTGGGATGGAGATGGGGATGGGTTATGGACAAGGACAGGGACAGCAATGGGGATGGGGACAGGATCATGGACAGGGAAAGATGCAGACAGGGGTGACTGCCAGGGATAAACATCCTCACGAACCCACAGAGCAGGGGCTGCAGGAGCTCTGGGGTGCCATGGGTGTGCAGCCCAGCCCCCTCCTGGCAGGGGCATCTTGGACTTTACCTGACCCCTCCCTGCCCAGGTGCCATCAGGCGGCCGCCACGAGCGGGCCAGCAGCGGCTCCAGCCAGGACAGCGGGCTCTTCGCCTGGTACGGCGCCGTGTCACCGGCACCAGGCAGCAAGGAGGACAAGGTGAGCACCCAGGGAGGGGCATCCAGCCTGCCCTCGCCCCAGCACCAGGGAGAGCAAGGGCCAAATTTGACACCCCCACCTTCACTTTCCAGTTTAAAAGCCTCGAAAAAGCTGGGGTGCTCAACCGGACCAAGACAGTGGACAGAGGGAAGCGGCTCCGGTAAGGACATCCCGGTGTCCCCTGCCACTGGAGACAGGAGGCCAGCAGGGGGAAGGGGCTGTGCTATCTCTGTGTGACCCCTGCTCCCCTCCCCAGGAAGAATTGGAGCTCCTCCTGGACTGTGCTGGAAGGGGGAATCCTCACCTTCTTCAAGGACTCCAAGCACTCAGCTGCCAGTGCCTTGGTAAGAGCCCCAGTGGCCTTGGGGCAGGGCAGCTCCCGTGGGACGGGGCCAGCACCCATGGGACTGGACAAGGACTTCCAGGATGTGGCCAATGTGTGTAGGATAGGGGCAGCACCTGCAGGGAACACAGCGCTGGCCTCACCTCTGGGGTGGGGGTTCAGGGCTCTGTCTAGGGGGTGCAGAGGCTCTTGGGGCAGGGGGACCACGGCCAGCACCCACAGAATGGGGCCAGCATCCGCAGGATAGGACCAGTATCCTTAGGACAGGGCAAGGATCTACAGAATGGGATCGAAGCTGCAGGATGGGACCAGTACCCATAGGATGAGGCAAACGTCCAGGGGACAGGGCCAGCATCCACAAAATAGGACCCCCAGCACTGTGGGGAGGAATCAGCACTTGAAGGATGGGACCAGGACCCACAGGCCAGGGCAGGTGCCCTGCACAGGGACCTCAGCACTGGGACATGTCTGCTCACCCCCCAGCACACCCATGCTCCCTGCAGGGGTGACAGTGTCGGAGCGCCCGGAGCTGGTGGGAGCCAGCAGGAGGAAGCAGAGCCGGCCCCAGTCCCCTCCCCCGGGTCCAGCTCCCCCCCATGCAGTGCCCAGCAGCTGCCACCGGATGCAGAAGTTGCCGTGGGTCTTGCAACACCCTGTGGGGACAGCAACGGGGGGAGGAAGGCAGGGGACCCACAGCTGGGGAGACAGTGCTGGCCCCACCTCGGGAGTTCAGGGCTCTGTTTGGGGGTCCAGAGGTCTTGGGGCAGGGGGACCGTGGCCAAAGCACCCCAAAAACCAGGACATGGGGAGAAGCAGTGGGTCTGATGCTCTCCCCCTGCAAAATCCCCCTCCTTGGGGACAGCCACTTTCTCCCTTCCTGCAGTGCCACTGAAAGGGACCTCAAAGCTGGAGCCCCCCCAGGATCCCTAGGGAGGGCTGGGAATGTCCCTTGAGGTGATGGCAGCCCTAGGACCTGGCTGTCCTCAAGCTGGTGGCCATGACCCTCACCCCACCCATGTCCTAGTCCTGCAGAGACCATAGGAGGGGACAGAGAAGTCCCACAAAGGACATCTGGCAACTTTGCCTTTTCTGGAGGAGGGCAGTCCACACCCCCCAGCAGGATCTCGATGTCCCTGTCCCCTCTGGGCAGGTGCCACCCTCATCCCCTTGTCCCCACAGAGGCACCCCAGCACCCTGACCACCCCCGAGCACACGGTGAAGCTGCACGGGGCCACCCTCACCTGGGCCGGCAGGGACAAGTCTAGCAAGAAGAATGTCCTGGAGGTGAGCAGGTGACAGCAGGAGGGACACTGGTCACACCCCAGGGTCCACACGTGGCCCATAGGGCAGTGCCATACCTGCCCAGTTCATCCCAGCACGGGATGGAAGTGGGGATGCTGAGGACGTGCCAGGGTGGGAGTACAGGGACTGGCACTGCTGGTCACTGTCCCGTTCTGATGGGCACGGCGAGGCCACCAAGGGACATCCCGGCTCCCAGAGGGGCTTTGCACAGGGAGGAGCCGCTCCAGCTCCCCGCAGACGGCACCGTTTGGTGTCATCGCAGCTGGCGCCGGGCTCAGACACATCCTGGTTCCCAAATCCGCGTGGTTGCGGCAGCCCCGTGCCCTTTCCCTGACCTTTGCCTGTCGCTCCGGCAGCTGAGGACGCGGGAGGGCTCGGAATTCCTCATCCAGCATGACTCAGAGCAGATCATCACCGCCTGGCACAAGGCCATCGCCGACAGCATCGGCCGGAGGGTGAGCAGGGCTCCCCACCCCCGCGGCCACCCTGGGGCCGGGGCCCGCGTCTCACCGTGCCGCTTCCGTAGGGCTCCGACATCCCCGGAGAGGAGGAGGCCGAAATTCGGGCTGAATTCGGCTCCCGGGAGAGGCTGGGGGGCGGCGAGGAGCGGAGGGCAGGTGAGCACGGGCACCCGGGATGGGCACGGGGGCCGGGCAGTGCCACCGACCCTGCGGGTCCCGGGCTGGGACGGGCCGGGAGCGCCCGGGCGGACCCTGGGGACGGTGCTGACGTGTGCCATGTCCCCGGCAGCGGCCGGGCAGGTGACGGGCAGTGCCGAGAGTGACACCAGCCGAGTCCGGAACAAACTCCGCAAGTTCCTGCAGAGGCGGCCGACGATGCAATCCCTGCGGGAGAGGGGCTACATCAAGGGTGGGTGTGCGGGGCAGGATCCGGGGTGCTGGATCGAGGATATGTGCTGGGGTGAGGGCAAATCCAGAGTGGGATGGTGTGTTGGGACAGGGCCTGTCAAGGGTGGGTGATGGAACGGGGCTGAGTCCCTCGGGATGTCTGCAGGCTGGAGGGCAAGAGGGGACAGCCAGGGCTGGAGCTGGGACAGCCAATGGGGGAGCTGGGACAGCCAGGGCTGGAGCTGGGACAGCCAAGGGGGGAGCTGGGACAGCCAGGGCTGGAGCTGGGACAGCCAAGGGGGGAGCTGGGACCCTGGGTTGAGTGACCAAGCCCAAGCCTGACCCAGCATCTTGGTGATGGGCTCAGGTATGTCCCATCACCTCCAGCCACCCTGGTGGAACATTCCTATGGGAACAAGACCCTCTGTCCCCAACCCTGTCCCCCACTAGCCACCCTCCTGGTGTCCCCTGGCCTTGCTCATGTCCCTGCTGTGTTCCTAGACCAGGTTTTTGGCTGCTCACTGCTGGCTCTGTGCGAGCGGGAGCGAGGGACGGTGCCACGCTTCGTCCTGCAGTGCATCTGGACCGTGGAGAGGCGAGGTACAGGGGACAGGGACAGCCTGGGACACCAGCATGGGGACATGGGGACAGCTCCAGCGACAGCCTACATGGGATGTTCGCTTTTCCTGGGAAGCCTGGTACTGGCTCCTGTGGGCACTGACACAGCTGTACTGGTCACTGTCACCATGTGTCACCTGGCTGTGGGCATCCTCCAGGGGACAGCAGGGACACATGGGGACCTGGAGTTCCCTCAAGAGTGCCTAATGTCCCATCCCAGCATGGATTGTTTAACTGGGAGCTTCCCTCCATCTCCACCTGCCCAGGTCTGGACATTGATGGGCTGTACCGGGTCAGTGGCAACCTGGCCACCATCCAGAAACTGCGCTACAAGGTGGAGCACGGTACGGTCACCTGCAGTGATAGTGGGGACAATGGGGTATCACCCCCTTCAGGGGCAGAGGGACAGGGGAGGGGGCAGCCAGGGACCACCCACCCATCCCTGGGGCTCTGGACACAGCTGAGATACTGCTCCACCCCCAGACGAGCAGCTGGACCTGGATGACGGGCGCTGGGAGGACATCCACGTTGTCACCGGGGCACTGAAGCTCTTCCTGCGGGAGCTGCCAGAGCCACTTGTCCCCTTCAGCCACTTCGACAAGTTCATCGCTGCCATCAGTGAGGGACAGGGACAGGGGGTGGGATGGGATCCATGGGATGGGATGGGATGGAGATAAGGATGGGAACTGGAATCGAGCAGAGATGGGATGGGGAAGGGTACAAGGATGGGGTTGGGGACAGGAATGAGATAGAAAAGGGATGGGAATGGAGACAGGAACTGGGACGGGGGGGATGATGGAGATGGGGATGAGGATGGGGACAAGGATGAGATGAGGATGGGAATGGAGGTGGGGACAGAGTTGTTGTGATTGCTGGAGCCAGCACCCCACCATGCCTTCTCACCCTGGCAGAGATTCAGGACCTGTCCCTGCGGGGCCACTGCATCCGGGACCTGGTGCTGTCCCTGCCACCCGCCCACCATGACACCATGAAGGTCCTTTTCCGCCACCTCTGCAGGTGACACCCCCTTGTTCCCTCAAACCCAACCCAGTGGAGGAAGGCAGAACACGACTTTGGGGACAGGCCCCGGGGTCGGGGCCATGCTGGTGACACTCCCCTGTCCTGCAGGGTGGTGGAACACAAGGAGGAGAACCGCATGTCGGTGCAGAGCGTCGCCATCGTCTTCGGCCCCACGCTGCTGCGGCCGGCCAGCGAGGAGGGCAACATGGCCATGCACATGGTCTTCCAGAACCAGGTGGTGGAGCACATCCTCAACCACTATGGGTACATCTTCCCTGACGGATAGACTCTGGGGATGAGCCTGGCAGTGGGGACTTGATGGAGCAGCGTCTCCAGGAAGGACTTGGCCATGTGTCACCTCGGTGGTGGCTCCATGGAGGGCAGCACGGTGACCCGGCTCAAGGGAGGACACCCCAGGGGGTCCTCCTTGGCCACCCCATCCCACCGGGGCCGGATTCGGGGGGCTGAGCCCCAGGGGGTGTGTGGGGCTCGGGGGGTCCCCGTGGTCAGTGGAGCCCTGCAGTGCCCCCCTGGAGCCGGCATTCCCGGTGGCAGCAGGGAGGATCCGGCGGGCAGGGCCTGCTGGGCGGTGGCACCGGCGGGCAGAGAGGGGCCGGGCAGTGCCGTGGCTGCAGCCCCTGCCCCGATCCCAAATAAAGAGCCCATGCAGACACAGGGGTGAGGTGTTGCTGGCAGGACAAGGGGACATCCCAGGGATGTGGGTGGCACAACAGGGGCTCGGTGCTCCTTGGCTCCTGGTGACCCCCAGGGACACCACATCGACTTCGTACCCCATGAGGATGAGGGGACCTGGGACATCATTCCTGGCTGGTGTCACCAAGCACTGTGTCACCACCAATGTCACCACAGACAGTGAGACGTGATGAGAGCCACACAGTCATGGGACATGAGTTCCCATCACCCAGAGCCACCTCCTGGGGTGGGGGCACTTTGGGTCATGACACAACCAGGACTGGATGGGACAAAAAAGGATGGCAAGGAACATGACTGAAGTGCTTTGGGACGTCATGGGGACAATAAAGGGCATGGCAGGGACACGAGGAGGAGGCGTGGGGATATGGGACACATGTCCTTTGCTTTGAAACACAGCAAGGACAGCACATGGCAGCAGTTGGGGACACAGGGATGGCTGGGGTACAGAGGGGACATTTGGGGACACAGCAAGGGCACTTTGGGGTGTGGTAGGGATGTAATGGGGCCAGGCTGGACTGCAGTGGGGACACTTTGGGACAAGACAGAGACACTTCGGGGTGCAGTGGGATCATTTTGGGGCACAAGGATTTTCAGGACAAAGGAAAACCTCAGGAGTGCAGGGACGGTGATTTGGGACACAATGGAGACAATTTGGGATGCAACTGGGAGACTTTGGGACACAGGGGGACACAACTGGGGACAGGAAAGGGACTGTGTGGAATGCAGGGGGGGAATTTGGGGGCACAAGGGGATGCCTTGGGGGACAAGACAATGCTTCGAGGGTGCAGCAGGGGCACTTTGGGACTGAACGGAGCCACCTTGGGGTGCACTGGAGCCACATTGGAGCACAAGGAGGTACTTTGTGACACGAGGGCATTCTTCAGGAGCGCAGTGGGAGTGCTTTGGGACATTTCGGGACACTTTTGGATGCATGGGACGCACTTCAGAACTTTGGGAGGCGCAGGGGACCCTCGGGCCCCCTCGGGGCGGGAGGGGGGCGGTGCCGGGGGCAGGGCCCGGCCGATCCCCGCTCCCTCTCTGCTCCCTCCCCGCTCCCATCCCGATCCCACCCCGCTCCCTCTCTGCTCCCTCCCCGCTCCCATCCCGATCCCACCCCGCTCCCGGCCCCGCTCCGCGCCCCCCGCCCGGCTCCATCTTGTTCGCGGCCGCGGCGGAGCCGCTCCAGGTGCGGGGGTCCGGGAGGGATTGAGGGGACCCGGGAGGGTCGCAGGGACCCGCCGAGGGAGCTGGGAGGGGATCTCCCGCCCGGGACCCCCCCAGGCATCCCCCAACTCCCCACGGGACCCCCGGCGCTGTCGGGGACCCTGGGAGCGATCCCTCCCATAGAGCCGTGTCGGGACCCCCCAGAGACCCTCACCCCCACCTCTGGGTCTCCGGAACGACCCCCAGGGCCAAGAAGGACCCCATCAGCCCCGTGACCCCCCGGTAACCGGGACTGTGCGGGACCGGGAACTACCCCCATCCCAGAACCCCCCAAACCCCTCTGCCAGTGCTCCCCCAGGCTCCCCTTTTCCCCTTGGAGCACGTCCCACCTTCCCCGGTGCTGCACGGGCAGGGTCTGACCCCAGCCCAGCCGGGACAGGGACACCCCCTGGGGCTGGGGGCGGCGCTGGGGACACTTTGGGGGGCCTGGGGACACCCCCTGGGCTGTGCCCCCCCCAGGACCAGGCACCAGGGGGTTACAGCAAAAGCAGCTTTGGCAGCCAAAATCCCTCTTAAGGCTTTAATCGCAGTGAGAAAGTGGCGGAGGGGGGGCGGGGGGAGCACCCTGTCCCCCCCTCACTGTCCCCAGCTCGTGGGGTTGCAGGACAACTGCAGCCAGGCTGGAAATCTAAGCCAAATCCCTAAACCTGGCTTAAAATTCAGTGGGATTTAGGGACGAAAGAAAAAAGGGTGAGGGGAGGGGGGAAGCAGTGGGGCCAGAGGGTTTCGGGGGCCCATCCCGCACCCCCGCTCCGTGGGGGGCCCAGGTGTGAGTCAGGGGGCGAAGGTCGGTGTGGCTGTGTTTGCACACCCGGCACGGAAGTGGCACCGTCCCCGCGTGTCCCCGTGTCCCGCCCGGCAGTGCCTCCCGGCTGGAGCAGGTAGGGAGGGCAGGGATGGAGCCCCCGGCCCGCGGGATGGGCACGGGGTGTGTCCCCACAGGATGGGAACCCCACAGGGACTCCCGGTCCATCCGGGTGGGGACAGGGTGTCCCCTGGGCCTGGTATGGCTGGTGTCCTGCTGTCCATGGGGACAGGGACACACACAGGCCCTGGCTACTGCAGCACGGCTGGCTTGGGGGTTCCCATGGCCCAGCTGGATCAGATTTGGGGGATTCCCATGGGAAGGGGGCTCTGGAGGTCCACATGACCCCACAGGAATCAGAACTGGGGGCTCTGGGGGTCCCTGTGGCCCCATAGGGACAGGAACTCTGGGCTCCCTCTAGGGATCAGTCTCTGGGGTGCCCATGGCCCCACAGGGAAAGGCTCTGGGGGTCTCCATGTCCCCATAGGGACAAGGCTGTGAGTGTCCCCAGAAGGACACACTCTGGGGGTCCCCACACCCCCCTATGGACCAGGCCTTGCTCTCCTGACCCCAGTGCCTGTTTCCCTGTCCCCTTGTTCCTATAGCCGTGGTGATGGGATGAGGGCAGCCCCCCAATCCTGCTGTACCCCACACCCAGAGTCACCGCATGCCCCAGGTGACACTGCCTCTAGAAAGACCCTGGGGACAGAGGGGTGAAAATCTAGGGGTGACACTTGGTCCTGGCCAGGCAATTTGGGGTGTGGGATGGAGAGGAGAACATCTGTGGGATTCCAGTCCCTGGTCCCCCTGTCCCTGCAGCCCCTGTCCCTGCAGCCCCCAGTGTGCTGTGATGGCCCCGGACGCCTGAGCCCCTGCGGCGGGGACGAGCCATGGAGACCGTTGTCATCGTGGCCATCGGGGTGCTGGCCACCATCTTCCTGGCGTCCTTTGTGGCGCTGGTGGTGGTGTGCAGGCAGCGCTACTGTCACCCCAAGGACCTGCGGCACCACTATGACACCAAGTGAGTGACCCCAGTGGGAGGGGGTGGCAGTATCCCTGTCCCCACCAAGGAGGGACTGCAACCCCCGTGGGCTGGGGACAGTGCTGGGGACATGTTCAGCATCATCAAGGAGACAATGTGGGGGACACATCCACAGTCATCGGGGGGACAAAGGTGGCAACTCACCCACCGTCATCAGGAGGACAGAGATGGGGACACATCAGCCATCATCAAAGGGACAAAGATGGAGACATGTCCCCATCATCCAGGGAACAAAGATGGGGACACGTCCATTTTAGTCGGGGGGATGATGTAGGGGATGTCCAGCATCATCTGAGGGAAGAAGTTGGGGACATATCCACATCACCAGGGGGACAAAGATGGGGACACGTCCACCAGCACCAGGGCCATTGGAGCTGTGGGGCAGCCCAAGGAGGTGGCCCTTGGTGGGATGTCCCCCATGTCTCTGACAGACCCATCGTGGACCTGATGGGGACCACGGAGACACCATCAGAGCCCTCGGAGCTGGAGCTGGATGATGTGGTCATCACCAACCCCCACATAGAGGCCATCCTGGAGAACGAGGACTGGGTCGAGGACGCCTCGTGAGTGTCCCCTGTGTCCCCTCACTGCTGGGGACCCCTGTGCAGTGCCAGCTCCCCATCATGGGATGCAGGGGACAGGTTTGGAGGTCACCAAGCCATGGGGATGGTCCTCAAGATGGTCTTGGGGTGGGAATATCCCCACAGGTCTGGGGGACATCGAGTGTGGGCTGGCAGGAGAGGGGGGACACACAGGGGACAAGAGCAGGGGGGACACAGGTGGATTCACACCCTCCTCCCTCTCCACAGGGGTCTGGTGTCCCACTGCATCGCCATCCTGAAGGTGAGTGAGGGCGTGGCACTGGTGGCAGTGGTGACAATGGTGGTAGCGGCGACACTGGTGGCAATGGCAGCCCTGGTTGTACTGGTGGTACTGGTAGGCAGTGGTGGCACCAGTGGCACTGGTGGCAAGGGTCACACTGGTGGCACTGGTGGCACCAGTGGCACTAGTGACATTGGTGTCAATAGTGGGCAGCATTTGTGGTAATGGTGGCAATGGTGACATTGTTAGTACTGGTGGCACTGGTGCTGATGGTGGCACTAAGTGCCCGCTGCTGTCCCCCAGATCTGTCACACGCTGACGGAGAAGTTGGTGGCCATGACCATGGGCTCAGGAGCACGCGTGAAGTCCCCAGCCAGCCTGGGTGACATCATTGTGGTGGCCAAGCGCATCAGCCCCAGGTGACAGGGGATGTCTGGGGGGTCCCAGGGCTCTTGGGTGGGGTCCTATGGCTCTAGGGTGTCCCCGGGGACTGGGGGCAAATTTCCAGGGCTCTGGAGGGTCCTCAGAGATTTGGGACAGGGTGGGTCTGGAGGGGTCATGGGGGCTCT